TGAAGGTCTTGATTGGGAGGTGTTGAGTGATAATCAAGTGGAGTTCTTGGAAAGAGGGTTTGAGGAGGAGGAAATTAGGGAAGCAATCTTCTTAATGGACAAACCCAATGCTCTAGGCCTGTTGGTTTTACAATGGCTTTTTATCAAGATTGTTGGGATATAATCAAAGTTGACTTGGTCAGAGTGTTCAAGGAGTTTCATTAAAGGGGAGTAATTAGTCCAGGAATGAACTCAACTTTCATAGCTTTGGTTCCAAAGAAAATTGGTGCTTGTCATCCTAGGGATTTTAGACCTATTAGTCTAGTATCTAGTATTTACAAGAAGATTGCTAAGGTACTATCCCTTGGGATCAAAAAGGTGCTCCACTTATTTCCCAGTTTCAAGGGGCCTTCATTCAGGATAGGCAAATTGTGGACCAGATTTTAATTACTAATGAGTGTGTGGAGGCCTAGAAAAGATTAAGGAAAAAAGGAATTGCGGTTAAGTTGGACTTTGAGAAAGCCTATGATTTAGTGGATTTGGAGTTCTTAATTAATGTCATGAGAAGTTGTGGTGTAAATGGATCAGAGGTTGTCTGCAATCTAGTCATTACTTTATACTTGTTAGTGGCTTGGTGGTTGATTTCTTTGAGGGGATTTGAGGTCTTAGACAAGGAGATCCACTACCACCCTTTCTTTTTACCTTGGTAGTTGAGGTCCTTAGCAAGTCAAGAGCCAATACCATGCGGTTGATTAAATGTTGGTTTGTAGGGAGAGATATAATTCTCCTATTTGAAGAGTAACTAGACTAAAAGCTTAGTGGTTAGCATCAACATTTAGGGAGGTGATTTCAGGGATATGGCTCTTTGGGATGTGAGAAGGGGGAATGGTCGCTAAGATATTTAGGGTTACCTCTAGGTGACAACCCTAGATCACCTAGGTTTTAGACCCTAATGGTGGAAAGGTTTGAGAAGAGAATCAAGCGATTTTTTTTTTTGATCAGTAAAAAGACTTTTATTAATAACAGAGAAGTATTGAATTACAATAGATATAGGTTGCAGTAATGCATTAACCCAATCTATAACCCAGTCTACAGACACATACAAAACAGTTATAGTTCAGCCCAGTACAAGGTAGGTCTATTTGCCCCCTGTTTTGCTAGGGTATCCGCCAATCCGTTTGCAGTCCTAACCCAACCAAATTGAGAGTTGAACCTTCTTGCAATTGTGTCAATTTCTTTGTAGATAAATTTGAGCTTCCAAGGTGTTGATGTGATGTTTTTAGCCCAAGAGATGACCAGTAGTGAGTCTCCTTCTATTTCTAAGTCTGTTGTTCCAATCTGCTAAGCCATCTTTAAGCCTTGAAGAAGAGCCAGAGATTCAGCCTGTATTGAGTCACCAATACCTATTGGTCCTGAGAAGAGTGCCACAACTTCACCTAGATGATTTCTTATCACACCCCCTATGCCCGCCCTTCCCAGGTTACCAAGGGAACTCCCATCAAAGTTTAGTTTTAATTTGTTCATTGCAGGTGGCTTCCATTCCGCTCTCACATCTTCTTTGGGTACATCTGTCTGTGCTACTTTAGTCCAATTTCTTAGAATTTCATTCATGGAGAAGTTTTTGAATAGTTCCATGGTCATCACCCAATGTGCAGTTCTGACTTTTATGGTTTCAATGACTTCATCTTTTGTTTTACTTTTTTACGAAAAGAGTCTTTGGTTTCTTTCCTCCCATATGGTCCATACCACAACAGCTTTTGCTGCCTTCCATAAGCACTTTCCTCTTTTCTTTTGCTGCCTCATGAAGGAGGGGCTGAATAGACTTACCACATCTTGTGGGGGAGCCCATCTGCATCCAAAGAGAGAACAAACAATTTCCCAAATACAAGAAACAAAAGAGCAGGATAACAGTAAATGGGGTAGGGTTTCACCACAATCTTTACAAGAACACACACATGAGGGGAGAGGCATTTGTTAAGAGAATCAAGAGATTAGTTGGGTGGAAAAGGAATTATACCTCTTAAGGTGGGAGTATAACTTTGATCAAGTCCACCTTAGCTAACCTTCCTATATGCTATATGTTGGTTTTCAAGATGCCCCAAGTTGTTGCGAGAAAAATTGAAAATATTTTGAGACTTTCTGTGGGGACCCGGGGAAGGGAAGAAAGATCACTTGCTTAGATGGGAAAAGGTGGTAAAATTGAAAGTAGAAGGGGGCTGGGGATTGTAAAAGAATCTTTTACTCATAAAGAAAAGGTTGTGGAGGTTCCTGAAGGAAAGTGAGAGATTGTAGCACAAAGTGGCAAGTATTCATGGGCTGTCAAACAATGGATGGGATGCTAGTTGTCTGCATAGAGCTACTCTGGCTGCTCTTTGGAAAGCTATCTGTGATTTTGTTCCCTTTTTTGGATCAATAACTGAATGAGGTTCATTAAATATAAATGAAGAAATTACAAAGAAGGGGAGATAAACTCTCTTAGCTCCACCCAAAAGGTCAAACAAAAAATACAACATAGCCCACAAAAAATTGCTTCTTCCTACCCCTTGCTTGGCCAAAACATTAGCTAAACAATTAGCATCTCTCTTGGTCCAATGCAACTGAATTTCTATGCCTTGTTTCAGGTACCTGAACTTCCTTTTTTCATTTATGTAATCCCACCAATCCATCTCCTCCTCCTTTTGAAAAGCCACCCACTACAAGCTCGAGCTCCCTTCAATTATTAACTTAGAAATATTTAATTCCTTGGCCTTATGAATTCCTTCCCTCACAGCATAAATTTCAGCTCTCAACGAGTTACCCACTCCAATAGGGCCTGAGAAAAGAGCCCTAATGAAATCATCCTCGTCTCTGAAAACACCTTCAAAAGATATGATACATCAGGTATGTTTTCCTCAGTCACATCAGCTATGACTTGGTCTCAAGTCAGAAAATTAGGTTTTAGGGAGATATTTGGCTTGGGGAGTCACCTTTGAAGGAGGCCTTTCTCTCCTTTTTTTCTCTTTCCAATCTCAAAGGTAGACTAGTGTTTGAGTTTATTTGTCTCGATCTTCTTTTTCTGGGTTAAACCGGAACTTGGGTTTCACTAGGAATCTTAGAGAGTCTGAGTTTCCCCTTGTGTCTGCTTTGCTACCCTTGCTGAACTCTGTGGTCCTGGAGGAAGGTGGTTTGGATAGTAGGGTGTGGATCCTTTATCCAGCAGGAGTTTTCACTTTCAAGTCTTTGTTTATCTCTCTTGTAGCCTCCTCCCCTTCTCCTTATTTCCCAGTTAAAGAAATCTGGTGTTTCCCCATTCCTCAAAATTAAGTGCTTTTTGTTGGAAGTGCTTCATGGTTGTATAAATCCTTGTGGTTTGCTTTAAAGGAAAAGACCAAACTGGCACTTGTCCTCGAACTTCTGCTGCTTATGTAAGTTAAATGGTGAGACTGCTTTCATCTCTTAATCTCCTGTCCCTTTGTTGGCTCTATGTGGGATTGGTTTGCTTTGCTTTTTGGTTGCAGTTGGTTCCCTCCTAATATCTTGGAAGGGTTGTTGAGCCGTTGTGTTTGTAGTTGCACTAAGAGGAGGGGCATGTTGAATTGTTGATGTGAAGATATACTAGGGCAGTAGTGTTTGGACAGTTTGAGAAGAAAGAAACTTGAGAAATTTTGGGGATAAGGGAGGAGTAAGGAAGCTTTGATAGAGTTCATAACCTTAAGAGTGGCACATTGGGTCAAGATTTTGAATCTCTTCTCAGACTTTTAAGGTTGAAGATTTCTTCAGGTCTTGGGGGGCTATAGCTGATATCCTCTAGAAGACAAAATGGGGCTGTGGACTGGTCACCTCCAACTAGTGGCTGGCCAAAGCTGAACTTTGATGGGAGTTGTGTGGGCAATCCGGGCTCCTCAGCAATGGGAGGGGTAATCAGGGATGAGGAAGGAAATATATGTGCCTTTTCTTCAGGCCCAATTGAGCAGGCTGATGTGGCCACAGATGAATTCTTGGCAGCAGTTTTTGGAGTTGAGAAAACCAAAGAATTGAGTTTGGAAAGTTAATTATTGAAGGTCAACTGAAAATAGTTGTGGTCTGGCTGAAGAAGGGGGAGGAATTGTCTTGGCACCTAAGGAATGTTCTTAGGTGCTTCAAATGACTCTCTAAGGATATGTTGATTCGAGTTAACTGGGTTAGAAGATCTGCAAACAGTTTGGCGGATGTTCTGGTGCTAAGCAAGTGGTTCAGGGACATTCTATTTTTTCGGCTTAGTTATAATACTTTGGGGTTTAGGGGTTTAGCTTTGAGTCTTTTTTTTTTTTTTTTTTTTGAGAAGGTACTTTGAGTCTGTTTCTTTCACAGCTTCTTGTTGTTTTGCTCTCTTATATTTTTAATGAAATTATTTTGTGTTGCTGATAAAAAAGAATGTTATTGATTCAAATAAAATACATAAACATAACATATAAAACATATTCAAAGTGAAAATGTAGAAATAAAATCAAACATGGCATAATTAATCTCTCAACAAGTGAAGCACGTGAAAACTTTAAATATCTTTGTTTCCCCAATTACTTAAAGTAGTTAATAAAATACATAAACATTTTGCATTCTTAATTCTAAGAGTTGTTCTATACCAAGCCCCTTGAGGCAAGGCCAAACAAATCCATGCCAACGCTCTAAGAACCCCCTTTTTGTTCGTGTTCCCTCATGTTTCCTAATACAAGATAATTTTCTAAAGATAAGAACTAATTAAAATTACAAAATAATCTTTTTGCATAGAAGAATTTAAGAACATAGATGTATTTGTTTGGGCTTGCCTCAAGGGGCTTGGTTTTGCCCTGACCCAGCCACTATGCTTGAAACAGCGCAAAACTGACTGAGGATGCCTGGGCTGAGGCACAAGGTGCACCAGGCACAAAGAATTACTATATTATTTTTTTTTTTAAGTAGAACAAAATTACAATATTATCTGTCTACATCATTCAGTAAATATCCCTTTTCTGACATTCAAGTTTGATTTCAAAGCTTTTCCCCTTAATTTTTGTTTCCAACAGGTGGTTCTTGCAGCTTCCATTATAAGCAAGTCTGGCAAAGGTGAGTCTTTTTTTCTCCCTAAAGAAATCCTGTTGGTGTGATTTTCTGGATTTACTGTTTTTGAATGTTAACTCATCTATCTATTTGCATATTCAATTTGGTTAAATGTAATAACTTTTATATTTATTCTTAGTGTACAATTATAGTTGTTTGGTTTGCCCAACGCATGCTAACTGCTTCTATTTTGGTTTTTAGTTGAGTATTTTCTTTCTTTCAAAATACAATTATAGGAATATTTTTTTTTTCTATCCTTGGTTCTAATTAATTGATTGTCCAACATATTTTGACCTATTTCTTGGAATTTAATTTTTTCTAGTTGTAGTATGTTGATGTGATGTTTGTTATATTACTTTTACCATCTGAAATGGCTTTAAATAGTTGCACAGACGAAATTGTTCTATATCTTTCAATTTGTTTTTGAGCTTAGTACTTAATATATAGGGGTGCAACTCAGGTACTCATGTAAAGGATTTTACACTGCATTGGGTTTGGGCCTTTGTGTTGGGCTCATTCAAAATTTAACAAAATCCCTGTTGATATATTCAGAAGCTTGAAATGGTATTTGAATGATTGGGTTGCATTCTTCTCTGATGGTGGTGGGGATCAATTTCTTTCTATGTAACAGTTTGTACCTCCTGAATTGTGGTCTTGAAACTGAAAAAGGAGAATTATCCAAAATACATAAAATTTGTTTCATACTGTTTCTCTTTCTGTCTTATTTCTAGTTAATTTTAATATTTTATATTTTCTGGGAGTATTATAATAAATTGCTCTTTATAGTTACTAATAAAAAGGAAGATTAATCATTGGTTTTATGCTTTCAGTCCTTTAGCCGGTAATTTTAAACATATAATGATTATACTTCTGAGTTTTTTTATAAATGAGAATTTTTATTAGAAAGTGGAGAAAAAAACAGATACAAGTATCCATGGAGAGGTATGAGCTACAACCTCTCCTAGCAATCAAAACCAAGTATGCATGGTAATTTCTGGTCGACTATTCCCTGTTTGCCCCTTGCTTGGATAAAATATCAGCCATAGCATTAGCTGATCTCCCCACCCATTGTTTTCTGACACATTTCTTGGTAGCCATTTGAATTTTTTAAGATCATTTTTAAAGCACCAAATCACAGTCTCTGGGTTCTGTAGACACCCCACAACCACCTTGGAGTTGCCCTCTATTAATAGCTGTTCCAATCCTGCAAACTGTGCCCCTTGAAGGACAACTAGTAATTCTGCCTTGGTGGAGTCCCTCACACCTAAAGGGCCTGAGCATAAGAGAGTCACATTACCACTTTCATTCTTTATAACCCCTCCCATCCCAGAGGGACCTGGGTTACCCTGACTACTGCCATCAAAATTTAGTTTCATGAAGCCTTCAGGAGGGGGTGCCCAACGCATTCAGACAGGAGCTGCTTGCCACTGCTGCCCAATGCCTCCGTGGATCATTAAAAGAAAGCTGGTGAAATAAGTCCAAAGATTTCACCTTATTCTTCTCCAGGGTTGATTTTTATGTAGAACAAATTTGTTTACACTAGGCTCTGCTATTGGGTTTGCTTATTATTTTTAACCCATTTGTTGCCTTTTCATTTTCTTATGCACCATAGTAAGATCATAACGGACTTGCGCTAGCAATTGAATAATGTAATGAGGCCCCCATACTTGGTATTCATTTTCAATATCTGTTGTACTTGTTTGCAGCTCTTGTTTCAAGGCAGTTTGTGGACATGTCTCGAATAAGGATTGAAGGATTACTTGCAGCTTTTCCCAAATTGGTTGGCATAGGAAAACAACATACATATGTTGAAACTGAAAATGTGCGCTATGTCTACCAGCCAATTGAAGCTTTGTATTTGCTACTAGTGACAAACAAACAAAGCAACATTCTTGAAGATCTGGAGACACTGAGACTTCTCTCTAAGCTTGTATCCTTTTTATGTTTGTCTTTGATTATTTGTACTGTTATGTAGCTGAAGTTCTGCTTTGGTTGATTTCATTGAGATAAATTAAATGGGACAAGAGCACAGTTGTAAAAATGTCGAAGGTGAAGCACCGTTTCCAATCAACAGAAAATAAGTCAAAGGTGAAGCTAGGCTATAGAAGAGTGTCTAGACACCTATGTGTTACCTAGGTGACGGATTTTGAAAACAAAAAACCAAAGTCCTATGTTAATTTTTTGTTTTTGAATAGTAACCAGCAATCATCCACACTAGCAATTAACAATAATATTCATCAAATAACAACAAATTTTATATCACAATATAGAAATATCATCATATTCATGATAAGATAGACATTTGAATATGTTAGTCTCAATATCTCAAACTATTATTGCAATATAATAATAGGAATTGAAAACGTCAACTATATTAAAAAAAAACTAATAAAGAAGAAGAATAGACCCTTGTTTGTGTCCCAGAAAAGAAGCAGAAGAAGGGGATTTTGCTCCTATTTATGTCCTAGAATAAGAAGGGAATAAAATCAGGAAAGAAGATTGCGTCCCCATTTCAATCCAAGAAAAGGAAGTAGAAAAAGAGGATATGGAACTGCTGCTTCAGTCGAAGAAAAAGAAGTGGAAAAAAATTCAAAAAATTAAGAGTGCAAATTGTTGCCTGTTTCTGCTCAAGAAACGCGAGAGAAAAGGGAGCAGAAGATACCTGCCTTTTCTGTTCAGTTGGTGTAGCAAGATTTATTCTAAGCAAGGTTTAGAAATGTTTTAATTGAAAGGGACTGCCAAGCGGTTATCTCTTGGTTCAATGCTGAAGAGGAACCACTGTGGGGGTTTAGATCTTTGGTTGGGGAAGCCAAATCCTTTGGATGTAGCCTGAACTGCTCGTTCAGGTGGATCCCTAACACACTAGCTGATAGATTAGCTAGAGCTGGATCGATGGCATGATTGTAAATTGTGCCTGGGCCTGGGGTGCAATTGTATAAGTAAATATGGTCAGCTTATGCTGTTTCTTTGTACTTCCCTACAGTTGATCCTGGACATGTTTTGGGGTTTCTTTTAAGGCACTTAATATGATTCCATTGTTATTATCAAGAATAAATGGCTTAAAATGTTGGGCTCAGTGGAAATTTTGGTCATCCAAATATAGGAAACATGTCAAAATGTCATATGGAAATATTGTAAAAATTATATTCATTCTTGAAACGTTGAGAAATATAGGGAATATACATGATGTTTTATGAAACTATAAAAGATGCATATGTACATCCTTTTAGACTGTTATCTTGGTCCAAACCATCAAATAAAGCTAGGAAACTAAGGTTAATGGATAAAATAATATGCTTTGAAATTGTCCTATGTACTTTAAGAATCAAAATTACATAATAGAGTAAATTCAAACAAAATTTGTAACGTGTATATGATTCTAATAGACCAACCAAATAATCTATTGCACAAACAAAAAAATAGGATTTAATTTCATGTCCAAAATGAATTTCAAGTTGGCTCAAAGTGGTAATCATTCCTATTAGACAGGCAATAAAACTGCTATTCCAGACTGAAAAAATAATACCGCTATGATATAAAAAATATTGTTGCCAACTTATGCTATAATACCATCTTGTGTACTCCATATAGGGTTGGTAGCTTTCACTAGAGAATATATCAGTTTCTGTAATGTGTTGGTATCCATTGGAAATAGAAAAATGTCTTTGAAATTTTAGAAATATATTGATATTCTAAACCATGATTCTTATATTATAAGCATGCAAAATAAGAATACAAACAAATTATGAAATGCCAGCCCTGGCTTTAGGTGCCCAACTTGTTGCCTAGGCAAGGGCCTAATCTATTAATCTGTGCCATATCCAATCCTCTTGGCATTTGAGTGGGTCAATCCCTCCTTGCTAAAATTAGAACTGATGGCTTCCATGAACTTTTATAGACCATTTTGTGATGGTTTGTGAAGTTACAAACAATAGATGGTAAAGATCACACCTTTGCTGTATTTTTTTCCCTTTGTCAAACAATTTGGTGATTTAAGCAATTGACCAGGAAATTAAGTGAAGTACTCCAGATACAAAGTATGGAAAGGTGTCTATAACTTCTCCACCAGGACCTACCCCCCGACCTAAAGTAGCGACATGAGCTTCTCTGGTATGAAATGAGCCACTTCAAATAGGTTCATTGCTCTGGCCCAAAATACAATTAGTCCGGCATGGGCGATGTGAGCCCCAAGTAGTTTACCGGACAAATTGATAAGTCGGGCATTCCCGGCCCACCAAGCGAAACTGGTTGTTTCTTGGTCATGACCAGCTAAAGCTAAAGTTCCATTAAAGAGAATTTCCATGTGGTAGAACTTCCTTAAGTAAAATGATCCAATTAATAAATGATTGCTTTTACTTAAATTTTCTATGTTTTTTCAAAAAAAGAAAGAAAAAGAATGAGGAAAACAGTTTTGTTTTTTGTCATTTCTTCAAACAAGTTCAATTTGATACTAGTACTCTGGTGCTTCTTCAGGTTTTGAGTCTTAAATTTTATTTTTACCTTTTTCTTTTCAAAATATTTCAAAAGTCCATGAGACGTATTTCATACTTTTAATGTTCCTCCTCATCATTGAAGCCTTGTCCCAACTATATGGGGACACCTACATGAATCCTGTGTTTTGCCATTCCATTCTGTTTAGTGCCATATCCATTGTTAAATATACCTTCAATGTTCCTATATTACCAAATTTCTCTACCAAAGCAATAATGCACAGATTCATCAAGTTTATTCCTTAAGTATACAAAGGTACCTGAATATTGCTCCAATCTAGATGAAGAGGGCATTTGCAAGACAGCTTTTGAGCTGATTTTTGCATTTGATGAAGTGATCTCCCTTGGACACAAAGAAAATGTGACAGTTGCACAGGTTAAGCAGTACTGTGAGATGGAAAGTCATGAAGAGAAACTGCATAAGCTTGTTTTGCAGAGCAAGATTAATGAAACTAAGGATGTCATGAAGCGTAAAGCAAGTGAGATTGATAAAAGCAAGGTAGTTTATATAAAATTGATGCTTCTATTATTTATATTTTGTTTTGCTTTCACTTTTTTTTTTCTTTTTTCAACTCTCAAACTATTTCTTATGTAACAATGTGTACACATTTTGCAGATAGAGAAGAACAGAGGAGAGAAAGGAGGGTTTATGTCTCTGACGAGTTCAGGAAGGATAGAGAGTAGCTTTAGTGAGATGAGTATATCTAGTGGTGGAGGTGGTTTTGGAAGTAGTTCTGGATTTGGACTGAGCACTGAAGTGGAATCCTTTTCTAGTAAAAATAAAGGTTTGTGTCAGTTCTGTGCCTTAATTTTTTTGATTAATAACTGCAGATTCATTAAATTAGAAAAATATGTGCACAGAATATAATACGAAGATAGAGATACACTCTCTTATCTCTCCCCAAGCATTATGTTTTTACAGTTGCGCCCAGAACAATTTTTCTCTTCCCACCCCTTGCTTTGCCAACATGTCTGCAAAGGAGTTTGCACTTCTCTTAACCCATTGTACTCTCACTTCCATATCCTTAGTCAACCATTTGAACCTTTTATTCTCACTGTTGTAGTTCCACAGCTTCATTTATTTCACTTGTTAACCACTTCACTACCAGTTTTGAGTCTCCTTCAATAGTTGATTTCCTAATGTTCACAACCGTCTTGCCCTTTGTACTCTTTCTATTTTTTCCATGGACTCTGCCCTGAGAGAATCACCCACACCATCCGGGCCTGAGAATAGAGCAACTATCTTCCCCTCCTCATCTCTGAATACCCCTCCAATTCCTGACAAACGAGGATTCCCTATACTGCTGCCATCAAAGTTAAGTTTAATGAACCCTATTCCAGTGGAGACTACAAGGGAATGGTGATGTTCTTTTTGTAGGATGATTCAGCCACTTCCTTCCAATTTCTAAGTAGATCATCCGTTGTGACAGACAAGAAAGTTTTCAAGGACTTCAACCAATGGGCTACTCTAATTGTAATGGACTCAATTAGAGCTTCCCTACTCTCCCTCTGTAAGAAAATTCTTGAATTTCATGTGCCTTAATCCTATAAAGGCTGTTTTTGTTCTGTTTTGACATGTTAGCGCTTCAAGTTACTGTTACTGATAGAAAATGGGAAAAATTAATTTGTATAAATCTTTGCATTGGAGAATGTGACAGCACCATTAGGAACTGAGTGGATGGCCTTCCACTGCTGAAACTGATGTTTGACAAGGTAGATTGAAACAGTGGTATGGTTATATTCTCTGGACACCAAAAAAGATCGAAGAAAGTTTCTTAATGTCAGGTCAATTGTTCTTTCTTCAATAGGCCGTCGGTAAATTGGAACATGATCTGGGTCTCCAACTGAATTGAATTCATCGTTCAATGGTAGATCCATTTGTTATCAAATTGAAATTATATTCTCTCTGACATATCTGTATGCATGTATATTGTGCATACTTTTTCCAGACAAATAAATTCTACTTCTTAAATGCTTAATTTTGACTGATCGATGTAGGATTAATCATGCTACCGAAATTTCACTATGTAGAAAATGTGACCTGATTTTTTATATTTCAGCTGGTGAAAACTTCTTTTAATATTGTTTTTGCTTTTTCAGGTCGTCCATCTGCATCTGCTACTGCTCCTCCTAAAGGTCTTGGTATGAAGCTTGGGAAAACCCAAAGGACTAACCAATTCTTGGAATCTCTGAAAGCTGAAGGTGAAGTGATTGTTGAAGATGTGCCACCAACTACTACACAGTCCAAATCTGCTGTGCCTCCACCAACTGATCCGGTAACATTGACTGTTGAAGAGAAGATTAATGTGACACTCAAGCGAGATGGTGGGGTTAGTAACTTTGATGTGCAAGGCACTCTTTCACTTCAAATTCTTAACCAGGAGGATGGACTTATCCAAGTGCAGGTGCTCTCTCTCTCTCTCTTGTTTGTATAATGCTTTTCTGCTAGCATAATCTGATGGCTCTGAAAAGAGGAATTGAGGAGCAAATTGAAGCTGGTGAAGCTAGTGAGAAATGATGAAAAAGGCATGCATATTTATAAAGGGTTTAACATTGGGTAATGGTGGAGAAAGAGTTGTGTACTGGCTCTATATAGTTGGGATAGTTGTTGATGATGATTATGATATCATAGTGATAACTTGGTCTGCAATGCACATTGTAAGTTGGAAATTGAATCAGGATTTGTCTTTCACAAAAAGAAAAGAGGTAATATCCAATTTGAAAGGATGAAAATCTCCCAAAAAATAATTCCATCATGTAGTGCTAGAAACTGGCATTGAGAACAAAATAAAGGTTCTAATTCTGTGTGTTGAATTCACAAGTTCAATTAAGCGCTCCTTTATAGCACAAAACTCAATGGTTATTTTCAAATGGAATTTGTATAAGGCCCTTGATGGTATTTCTTGTTTTGCTTTTTTTCCTCACCCCTTGTAAACAATATATTAAAAGTTACAGTTTGAGCTGACCTTTGATAGTCATTCCCCCAAGGCCCTTAGACCCTCAACAGTAGTTTAATATCAATACTTTTTAAGGCAGACAAGAAATAACATCTCATTTTTTTTTCAGTCCTTAAGGTCTCATAGTATGAGCATTTTCTTACAGATTTTGAGAATTAAATGTGTTTATAGCATGATGAAAATTTGGTTATACAGATTTAAGGGAACTATATTGGTGACAGATGAGTTTGATGGTTCATCATGAGAAAATTTGAATTATTTGGGGCAGATTTTTGCTCATCTGTGGCGTTGGATCGGAGGAGATAATATTTTTATTTTTGTTGCATTGTAATCCGGAAGTTTCTTATACTTTTGTATTGTGATCTCTCATCACCTCATTGTTTCATGGTTTAATGCCTTCCAGTTGCGCCTTTTTAAATGAAAAGTTTGGGTGCTTATGTCATTATTTGATTATTGTATTGTCTCTTTCTCAGATTGAATCTCGGGCAGATTCAGGCATCCTTTTCAAAACCCATCCTAACATCAACAAGGAACTGTTTTCAAATGAAAATATTCTAGGTCTTAAGGATCCTAACAGGCCTTTTCCAACTGGACAAAGTGGAGATGCAGCAGGTGTTGGTCTTTTGAAGTGGAGAATTCAAAATTTGGATGAGTCTCTTGTGCCACTGACAAGTAGGTTTTTTATGATTTATTCTGCTACTCTAGTATATGCCTTTTCCCTTGTCAATAATTTCTCAATATGTTCATCCATTTGCAGTCAACTGCTGGCCCTCTGTTTCTGGGAATGAAACTTATGTCAGCATTGAGTACGAAGCTTCTTCGATGTTTGACCTGCGGAACGTTGTAATATCAGTACCTCTTCCTGCATTGCGAGATGCACCAAACGTCAGGCAGATAGATGGGGAATGGAGGTGCACACACTAATTTGTTCTTTATTTGCAAACAATGTGGCAGTTAACTTCTATAAAAGTTACATTTCTTTTTTCCATGTATGCTTCTATTGAACTCAAATGGCATGTATATTTATGTCTTGGGGTAGCAAACTAACAATTATGATACTTGAGTTACTATTCTTTATGTTTATAATTTTTTGGTCTTAATTATGAATAATTTAGTCTTGGAGTCCCTGAATATGTTATATTTTATTTATTTATTTTTTGTTTCACATGTAAAAAAATCAATAAGATATTATTTAGTTTTTTTTGTTACATTTATAGTTCCATGTTCTTTTTATCCATCTTTTTTTTTTTGATTGGAAACAATAGCTTTATTAGAGATATTTTAAAGTACAACTTTCAAACCCTAGTATAGGGTGTTCATCCAAAATACAATCAAAGTACAGCACTGCCCAAAGTATATTGTTCCTGATAGTCCCTTGTTTGGCTAAGGTATCTGCTAATCCATTAGCTGATCTTCTTGTCTACTTGAGGCAAGCACCAGCCTCCCTTGTTAAGCTAAAAATTTCCCTCAACAATTGTCTGTCCAGACGCCCAAACAACCTGTCTGCATCCAACCAATTATCAATTTAAAGCCCCTTCTATTTCGATTTGGTATAGCCCCAACTGTTTGGCATATATAACACCTTGAAGCAAAAGCCATGACCTCTGCTCTCAATGAGTCTCCCACTCCTATTGTTCCAGAATACATAGCAATTGTTCTCTCTATCCATCTAATGCATTTGATTTGTGCAAATTACTTGTCATAGCTGCACTTGCCTTTATTGGATGTAACAAGGTTTTAGAAACCAACCCAGAAACAGAACAGCTTTTTCCTCTGGTTCCTGGGTCAGTGGTTTGACCGTCTAGTCAAATGGGTCAAAATGGTTGAGTTCAATTTACATTGTATATTGCATCCTGACCATTAGATTGGAATATTAGGTTAGGTTAGGAAGATATATAGGTCATATACATATATTATAGAAGAGAGGGTGAGAAGGGAGGCTTAGAAAGAAAGAAGAAAGAAAGAAGAAAGAAGGAAAGAAAGAAAGAAAGCAAGCAAGAACGAATGAAGAAGAAGAAGGCGGTTGCCTCCTCCCTCAGATCTCTCTCTCTCTCTCTCTCCCACAGCCAGTCAATTTCTTTCTCTCTTTTTTTGTTATTTTAATTTTTAAAAAGTAATTTCAGTTTTTGATTATTTAACTGTGAACCTTTGGCCATATCGAATGGTTCAGCAATTAGACCATCCGGGTCAGTGGTTTGTTGACCGATTCAATATTTCTTTACAAAATAATAGGCCAGGTGGTAAACAGAACCAATATGGCAGCCGGTTGCCGAGACCCAAGTTCTACTCTGGGTTACCAGGTGATTAACTCAAGTCTTTTCTATAAGCATCTTGTTGTGTCACCAACATCGGCCAAATACCAGAGTTGCTGCAACTCTTCCATGAATCTTCAATATGAGGGCATCCAGGAATCCTCTGGACCTATAGAAGGCTTTCTACACACTACTACTGGTTGGGAATGAAAAAGTGAGTGAAGGGTTATGTTGCTGCTTGCAATCTATGTGAACAACATAAATACAATAGCCAGTCTCCAGTAGGTTTGTTACAACTCCTATCTGTCCCCTCTCAGGTATGGGAAGAGATTACCATGTGTTTCATAACCAGACTTCCAACTTCAGGAGGTAAGTCGGTTATTGTAGTTGTGGTGGACAGCTTCACTAATTTCACGCACTTTTCAGTGCTATCTCTTATTTACATGCTTAGGTGGCCAGATATTTGAAAACGACAGCCATGCTTCATGGAACACCCCTGGTCATCATCACTGATAGGGACCCCACATTTGAGCTTTCTGGAATAAGTATTTCAAGGCCATGGGGACAGAGCTACACTACTCAACCAGTTACCGTCCTCAGATTGATGGTTAGACCAAGTTGGTAAACCAGTCCTAGGAAACCTACCTAAGGTGTTTCACTATGATCAACCCAATATTGGGCCAAGTGGTTACCCTGGGCCAAATTATGGTACAGTACACCCAACCATGCATTTGCTGGCATCTCCCCCTTCCAAGCTCTATATGGATGTCCGTCGTCTGCAATCTTACCATATGAGAGAGGATCTTCAGCAGTAGCAGAAGTAGATGCCCATTTGATTGAAAGGGATGAAATCCTCAAGGCCTTGAAGGTCCATTTGCATTAAGGCCTAGGAGCAGATGAAGCAGCAATATGACAAGAACCACATGGTGTGAGTATGGTGGTAAGGCTATGTGTGGGGGTCTCCTTGAAGGACAAAGGAAATTCGAGGGCAGGGGGTAGGCTGAAGGCTAGGGTGAACAGAGTGATAGGATGATGATCTCGTTATGAGTTGAACCTCTATTTATAGGGAGAGATCCCGAAAGGAAGTAGCACACGTGTATTATAAGAATTCTCAGACGAAAGGAAACCATGTCCTTGAGATATCTCATAAGACATATGGCGAAGCCCTAGCGGTGTTCCCTGACAACTGACACCGAATCGAAGATTCCCTTTCCTAGTGGGAATCAAACACTTTTAGCTCCTTCCTTTTGGGACCTCGGGATCTCTCCCTATAAATAGAGGTCCAACTCATAACGAGATCATCATCCTATCACTATTCACTCTAGGTGCAAGAGGCGTACGTCTCATACACTTTTTTCATGAGGCGTACGCCTCATGTGCCTCATGCACATCTTAGATAAAAAGACAAAAAAAAAAGAAAAAAGCAAAAAAGAAAGGAAAGGAAAGGAAAAGAAAGGGAAGGGAAAGAAAAAGAAAGAGAAGAAAAAAGAGAAAAAGGAAAGAAAAGAAAAGAGAAGGGAAGGGAAGGGAAGGGAAGGGAAGGGAAGAAAAGATTAGGGGAAAGAAAGTGGTTTGCCCCCTTCCCCTTCAGCTGGGGGGCTTCGCCCCCTAGACCCCCCACCCCCTTTTCAATGCAGTCCAATTTGTTTTTTTGAGTTAGGGGGTCTTGCTCCGCTTCGACAAAACTCCCCCTTTCAACTAATGTTATGCATCTTTATTCTTCTTAATATAAAAGATTTTTTATTAAAGATAAAGAAAAAGTGAGATCCTCCTTCCTCCTCCTAACGCCCCCCTAAGGAGGCTTACGCCTCCTTGTGTTCGGGAGGCTTATGCCTCTTGCGTTTTGAACTATGCCTCTAGGTAGTGGAATGCCTCGCGTCACGCTTCCGTGTTTTAAAACATTGCCTGCAGCTACTCCTCCAACGGTCATCTGGGACAGAATGATCCCCTTTCACTCCAGCTGGCCCCTCCACATCCATCCCCACCAGTCACCAATTTGCTAACCCAAATCCTGCCAACCCTGAACAACCTCCTAGAACCAACCCCACCAACTCTATCACTCTATTCACCCTAGCCTTTAGCCTTTGCTAAAAGACCTATCTGAAGCTAGTTCCCTGGTATTATGGATTGTTTAAGGTGCTACAACTAGTTAGTGGGATGGCCTATCGTCTTGATCTTCCACCTACATCTAAACTTCACCTGGTGTTTCATGTTTCTATGCTCAAAACATGCCCCGATCCCACAGCTCAAAGAAGTATAGACTTGCCTGAATTCTCCAAAGATGATGAGTTACAAACTCGGCCCATCAGGATGCTTGACTATTGATGCAAGGCAAGAAGATCACCAGAGAGGTTTTAGTGGCATGGGCTGGGCTGCCAATAGAGGATTCTTCATAGGAAAACTGTAAGAAGCTTAAACAGAAGCACCCCAACTTCAACCTTGAGGACATGGTTGTTGTTGGGACCCAGCCAAGCCTATAGCCCAGTTCATAACAGCCAGGTCCATGATGAAGCCAGACCGAGCAACTGTGTCAGCCTGCAGTCACCCTAGTTCCCCCCATGAGCCATCTGTTACTTCTATACCAGAAAGACACATCAGCACAATTAGTTAGGGGAGAGATATTTGTCATAAAGTTATACAAGGGGGTGAGGTCGAGTGAAGGGAAGCATGCAAATTGCTTGAAATCTGTTATCTTCTCCTCTCTGTCCTTCTCTCCTTCCTGTCCTCTTCAGTTCTGTAGGAGGTGAAACCCCTCCAAGTGATTCATGCGTTGGGCAGTATCCCAATTCCCAACAATGAACTTTCTCCAAGTCTAATTTATAAACCCACCCCTTTCAGCCTGTTCTTTTTAGGTCATCCACACATTAATTGGCTCTAAGGCACTGATCAATAATTTGTCTACCCTGTATAAACACGCCTTGATAGTGTGTGAGTAAATAGAGGGTAACCTCTTTGAGTCATAGTGACAGTACTTTAACTATTGTAGAGAGACTGGGCCGAATGGGCCCTAGTATCTATCCTTTTATTCTTTGTAATGTGTTATCTATTTGTTTTGTTAATGGGCCTGTTACTTCTTTTTGTAAGCTTACTTTAAGTTCTTGCTTAGCTGGCCGCCCACTTAAGGGCATACTTGTAAGTAACCTAGTTAATGAAGATTAACAAAAGGATTAGAGAGGGGAGAGAGGAGATTATCAAACTCTTCTTCTTCCTCTTCTTTTCTCCTTCCTCTTCCCTTGTACTGCCGTCTTCTACCTTTCTTCTACTTTCTCTGTTTTTAACCAAGTTTATATCAGTTTTAGAGGACTGACTTCTACTATAATCATATAGAGGCTCCCCACCAAGCTTATGGGCCTTAAATCTTTTGGGTGGTCCCCACTAGCTTTCTTGGGTATAACGGCTATGAATGTGGCATTCCCTGCATTTATTATTCCACTGTCATGAAGTTACTGAAACACATCCATCAAGATTTGTCTTCAGAGAAATAGACCAATTTGCAAGGAGGTTTAATACTAGCTTTGGTTCGGTAAAGAGGGAAGCAAATGGACTTGCAGATGTCCTAGCCAAACAAGGAGCAGACAGACCTACTTTATTTTGGGCTATATTGTAATCTGGGTCACTACATTGCTGTAACTTTAAAACCTGTGATTGATGATTTAATAAAATTTTATTTGCTGATCAAAGAAAAAAGAGATTGGTATGCTGCAGCTTTCTTGATAAAATAGCACAGGGATCAGGGCTAAGTACTTTGAATGTATCCATGGATCATGCTGATATTCTAAATTTCTAATTTCCTTCAATTTGCAAGGAAGGTTTTGGCAATGTTTGATAGGATACTTTAGGGGAGGTTTATCAAGATAATTCAAGAAAATTGAAAGGTGACTTGTCGAGGAGCAGTTCAGTTCTTTGTTTGATGTTGAGCGTGCACGGTGGAATTTTCTTTTGGGCCTTAGATGATTGTTAGCTTCTGAACTGAGAAAATTTTAAGAGAAAACAGGAGAAAAGACTTGCTATAAGAAAAGAGAAAAGAGAGAAAATAAAACCCATGAATCATTTGTAGTGTTCCTTAAATTACTCTTGCACTCACCAGACAATACATATAGCAGAAATAATCTCTAAAATTCCTTAACCACGTTTTTTTTCCAACTTTGTGCATATATACTGCCTAGGGTCAGCCAATCTCCTTTCTAAACTAAAAACTAAAAATTATAAATTCTTTAGACTACTTAACCAGAAACTGGTATTTTAAATTCAAGAGCAATGGCAATGGAAACATCAACATCTATGTTGAGGGAGATTAGATGTTTGACAAGGGTAATAAATACCACCTTTTCTTAGGCCTAGAGACTCAGCAAATTGTATGGATGACACTCTAGCCAAGCATGGTGACTCTTGGCGTATTTATTCTGGGTTGCTTGGCGTATTTATACATATTCATTCCTTCATTGTATTTAAAAAATAGTTACCAAGAAAAACATAACTAACTACAACTAAACAAATTAAACTAGTAGGCTGGACCCACATTCAAAGATGAAACTGACCAAAGTATAAAAATACAAAAAATAAATAAAAATTCAGAAAACTATATATATCTGACAACTCCATTACTTTCTCTTTGATGAAAGTTGCAAGTTGCACCTCTCTGAAGGAAAATAATTTTTTTATTATTCGAAGAATTAGAAATGTCTATGATTTTATCCCACAACTGTAGTAATTTCACAGGGATGCAAGTGCTAAATGCAAGTTGTGGTGATATCTAAGAAACAAGGCTGTGTTTCCACTTTCCTCTAGAAAAACTACAAGCTTGTTCGAGTGCTCCCAACTTAGAAAGTATGGAAGTGAACAATAGCTTGTCTGGTTTCCATAGCATCACAGTAAACATTAACCATTCAACAACTTTACTGATTTCAAGCTCATTTCCTTCCTCACCCCACTTTTTCAAAGTAAGGGGTTGGGTATAATAATTATTATCAGGCATGCATTTACTTTTTTTTTTATTAATTTGATTTGCAGGTATGACCCAAGAGCTTCCACCTTGGAGTGGTCCATACTTCTCATTGATAGTTCCAACCGCAGGTCAGAGTGCAACAAAGATTTAGTTTCTAATCTTTATGCATACGCAATTTGTTCTTTAAATTCTTCCCCTTGTATTGTATCATATATCTGATTTTCCACTTTTTCATCCTTGGCAGTGGATCAATGGAGTTTGTTGTTCCTCCAGCAGATTCATCAGTTTTCTTTCCCATTTCTGTCAGGTTTACTGCGGCTAAGACATTTAGTGACCTAAAGGTTTGTGAAGTCTGAATTCTTGTTAGGCCCTTTCCTGAATTTATAAGTAGCAGTAGAGTTTCTTTTTGTATCTTTTGAGAATAAAGGGTTAGGTTTTACCTCGGTCTCATCTTTTACTAATAAAAAAAAGAATAAAGGGTTAGGTTACAAGAAAAGGAAAACCTGCATAAATAATGGAGGTTGATGTGTTCTTAACCAGCACTTCCGTGACTTCTATTTGGGTCTCTATATCACTATTCTAAAAGGTGTGCCTAGGCACAGATATTGTGTTAATGTTTTCTTATGAAATATGGTTATCATATTATGCCATTATGGAGGTTTAGGTGCATTTTATTTGATATAGAAACAAGATTTTTATATTCCTTCATGTCAAATTTTTATTTTATATGTTTTAGGAATGTTGTGCCTCACTAGTTCAAGCGTGCACCTTGTGTTGTGCCTTGCTTCTCAGGTGTATGGAAGCCCTTGCACTTTTGTTCCTCTTTCTTTTAAAACACCGCTCTAGATGTATCCATATAGTCCAGTCCAAGTTCATTATCACAGCATCTATCACAAGCCCATGCTTACAACAGAATCAAAAGCTCATGACTATTTTCCCAGGAATCATAAAACCGCCATTAAATGTGGATGGTTTTTAAAGGAACTTTGAGCATAAAAATTTATTAGGAGTCAGTGAAGTATAAAAGTTTTATAGGTGGTTTGCAGCAAGAGCAAATATTTAGTGTGCAGGGAAGTAAAGGGGTACCTGGGTTTAAAATGGTCTTTCTTTTTGTATTGGAGATAGTTAGGTTGGTTTTCCTAGAATTTAACTGCTTGTTATGATTATTAAGATGCATTAGCTTGTATTATGTACCATGGTAGCTTGTTTTGAGCTTTGAACCTCTAGCACGCATTTTTGGCAGTGTGATACTCCAAACCACTTTTAGAGGTAGAACAACTCTATGATTAGTGTTATTCCATTCTTGAGTTTATTGATAAAAAAATTCTATTCTTGACTTTTTATTTTTTTATTTATTTTATTCTGTTGACCATTTGTCTTCTGTATAATGACGAAAGGAAAACCCCCATTGACAACCCCATAGGACATGTTGAAGAGGCATTCAATAGAGAGATAAGTCCAAGAAGTGGTTATACACTTTGGCTGCTATCTAGAAATCTCGAATAATGTGGTTCACTGCCATTTGATATTTTCTCATAGAATGCATTCATTTGGGGATAGAATCTATTGGTCTTCATTTTAATTATAAAAAAGTCTATTGAATCCTTGTTGATTTTTTTTTTATAAAATCATTTATTTTAATTATCTAAAAAATGTATTCATCTTTCCACATGCTTTGAATTATATTTCATGTATTTCTTTTATTATGAGGCATTTCATGTATGGTTTTGGAGGAGTCATAGATTTCCATATGTAATTTCCTTGTATGGAAAGTAACTTGTGGTAATTAGGTACATCTTTGATTTCATATGAATTGTCAATTTTTTTCCTTTAAATAATTAGTGCACTAAATGCACCTCATTAACTTGTATCAATTCCCCCATCTCTCTTTTCAGAAACAGAAAACAACTTTTATATCAAATAACTGTCATTTAGTGTATAAATCTTTTAAAAATATAAATATGCATACTTGGGTTTGTTGCTCTAGAGGAGTTAAATGAAGCATACATGAATTCAAGAAAGATATTTGTGGATTGAAGCAGTCTCCCTATGAATGGTTTTGTCCATTCAATGTAGTGGTGAAACTTTTGAATTACAGTGACATCAAATATGTTACTTGATGTTCAGATGTCATACAAAGATGGGTATAATTCTGTTGGTCATTTATGTAGATATATTGTGGTTACAAGTCATGGTCTTAAAGAGATAAATATGCTGAATTTATCTCTTCAACATCCTTTGTGCACCAAAAGACCTAGGGAAATTAAAATAGTTTCCTAGATTTTGAAGTTGCCAAGTCAAGAACTGAAATTAATTTGTGAAAAAGGGACTGTGCTATTATGCTGGATCTACTTAATGAAAAGGGTCTATTAGAATCAAAGCCAGCTAGTACTCCAACGAACACCAATGTTAAATTGAATGAAACTAAGTTGTTCTCCAACTTTGGCTGTTCGGCAGATACAAAAAGATTAGTCAGAAAAAAAAAAGATGAATTACTTCACTGTTACCAGACTTTGATGTTTCATATGCAGTGGAGAGGTTCATATGGAGTCTTATGTGATAGGAGAATACCAGTGAGGCTAAAATGAAAATTTTATTCAACTGTTTTAAGGCCAGCAATATTATATGGAGAAGAGCATTGGGCGGCCAAGAAATTTCTTGTCCAAACAATGAATACACAGCAGAAATGCGAATAGTGGGATGGAATAATGGGAAATGATCTCATTCGGAGCAACCTTGGAATAGCTCCAATAGGTGATAAGAATGAGGGCAAGTAGACCAAGATGATTTTGACATGTATAGAGAATACCATCTATTAGTAATGGTAAGAAGTGATCTCAATATTGAGGGTGGGGTGACCAAAATGGACATGGGTTGAAGTAGCGAGAAACCGTTTAAGGGGCCATATTTAACAATGGCTTTGGCATTAAATAGAATGAAGTAGCTGACCCCATATAGCTGGAGTAGGCTTGGATGATATTGATGATGATGATGATGTTAGAATTACAAAAACAGCATACTGATGAGATAGACTCTAAGAAATACAATCTGTGATTAACTGGTCAGCCTGCTTTTCCTTCTCTTTTCCTGGCTAAATGGTCAGTAAAGTATTAGCTGATTAGGAAGTCTACCTGAGTGATCTTTTTGAAGTGGCAGACAGAGTCTAAAGCTTCTCTAGTGGTAATTACAATATTATAACCAATTTTACTGATACATAAATATTGATTTTATATTAGATACAAGGTTTACAAGCATGTTTGTTTATCATTGGATCAAATCACATTGTGGTTATATTCACTCCAATTGCTTAATTGGATCAAGATTTTGTACAAGTGGATTATGTTAGCTGCCCAAATTTGTTGGTGGAGATTCAACAAGGACAGAATTCGTATCTTATGACTAAAATTAGAGCATCTTTAAGACCTGTAAAAGACACTAATAGGTGAGCCTTCCAGATTGAATGGTTCATACAGATTGGTTCTAGGTTCAGTCTGGCAGATAGCTTTGGTACAGTGTAGTAGGGAGCTCCTAATCCTGATTTTTTCATTATTGTATAAGCTGATTAGCATGTTGTTTGATAGTGTTTTCCATTGAACCCTCACGTGAGCTTTGGTACAGTGTAGTAGGGAGCTCCTAATCCTGATTTTTTTATTATTGTATAAGCTGATTAGCATGTTGTTTGATAGTGTTTTCCATTGAACCCTCGCGTGAGCTTTTTTCGATAGTGTTGGTAATTAATCTTTTTTTCCTCCTTTTAGAAAATATCTTCTGATCATGTTTCTGATAAAAGAAAATGAATGAAAAAAGGGAAAAAGTAAAGATTGTTTCATGGTTTGTCTGCAGATAGCTCTATTTTGCAAGGTTTTTAAAAACGAACCGGAAATAGAACTGGTCAGGGGACTGGTTTCTGATTAAGCGGTTCAACAGTCCAGGTCGAATGGTTTGACCAGTGACGTCATAAATAAATTAAAATAAAAAATATATTTATAAATAATAAAAATAGCATAAAATTAAATAAAAAACATAAAAATATAGAAAATACAGAAAAAAACAAAAAAATAAAACTATCTAAATACAAAAATGACAAAATACATAACAAATAGTAAATACAAAAAGGACAGAAACATTGTCCTCTCTGTTCCCTTCTTCACTGTGATAAAGAGTAAAGCTGACAATCTCTGTTCTTTGTAACAAGGATGGAGAAAGTTAAAAAAACAATAAAATGAATAAATTAATAAAATAAAAGCAAGAGTATGAGGGAGAATGAGAATGAGAACAAGAATCAGGTAAAACAAATGGAGAGATGGAAAAGGGGAGGAGCAGCGATACTGTTCTCGCTGCTTGCGAAGCAGAGTAGATGTGCTCCTTCGAAAACAAAAGCAATAGATTTTTTGAGAGTTATCTTATGTAAAATCGCCGGCCGCCGCCGCAAAATCGCTGACTGCTGCTGCTCCTTATTGCTCCTTGTTGCTGCTGATTACAAGAGGAAAGAAATCTGCCATTGCAAAATCGCCGGTTGCCGCTGCTCTTGTTGCTCCTTGTTGCTGCTGATTACAAGAAAGAAATCTGCCTCTGCTCCTTGTTGCTTACCGCAGTAAGCCCTTTTGAGGAAGGAAATCCGGATGACAGTCGCCAGTCATCGTGATTGGTCGATGTCAGTCGTGGATGTTGCAGGTTGTCGGTCGTGGCTGCCACAGGTCGTCGGTCATGCTGTCAGAGTATGAGAATGAAGGCTGGGCCTTGGAAGGGTTAGAACGAAAATGACCTTTGGTTCTAACCCTAACTCGTAAAGAGGAACCGTGGGATATGAATGGATTTTTTTTTTTTTTTTTTTAAATCGGATGAAAATAAATTTTGCCTACCCACGAACCACTGCCCAGGTCGAACAGTTTAGCGGTTCGACCGCCTGGGTCAGCGGTTTTTCGACTTTTTCAACAGTTATTTATTGAATAACGGTTTACAGTATAACCGGACCTGGGGGGCTGAACGGTTACTGGTTTTTCTGGTCCGACCGCCCGGTCTGGTCTGGTTTTGAAAACCATGCTATTTTGTTCATTTCCCTTTACAGTGAGTTTCTTTTATGTTTGCAGGAAGGTTGTGATCAATATTTGCTACATTAATTTTGTGAAAATATGTTAATATCTTTAATTATTGAAAAATGTTAAATGCATAACGCTCCAATTTAAATTCCCTTGCAGGTTTTGAATGTATTGCCACTGAGAGGTGGGTCACCTCCAAAATTTTCACAGAGGACACAATTGATTACTGAGAACTACAGAGTGGAGTGATTGTGATAGCTATAATAACAGATGGATGAATGTATGAGATTTGCGTAATGATGTTCTCATTGGAACAACAGCACTAGTTCTTGTTTTCTTTACTCTTCTTATTTTAATATAAATTTTGAGATTGAACATCTAGGATATTTTTATTTACAAAGAAATAAGTTGGTTTTTGTTTCCTCCAAATCATCTTTTATGTGGCATAGATGATTTTACTTGAGATATTTTCTAGCAAGGAAAATTTTCTGTTTAATGCATATTCAAGCGCATTTTCAACATGGGCCGTGTTGCCATATTGCCATCAACATTGTGGTAGTGTCAACTATCATGCTTGTTACTTGGTCAATAGTTGTCAATTTCGTGTATTTGGCCATCAGTCAAAGATCTAAAATATTGATAGATACGTTTTTAGGGGTGCGGGTCTTCGGTTCCAAGGTCCTGGAACTTTTCTTGTCTAGATCGGTTCCAGGGTTTACCCGTGGAACCTGTTCCAACAATAGTTCAAAATTTATATTTGATTAAATTGAATAATATAATAATTAAATTATCATAATATATTCATATATAGTTCCAAATTTATCATTATAATTTAAAATTTTTTAATATTACCTTTTATGTTATTTATTATACATTCAAATATTAAACTGAGAAAAATGATCAAATCAATTGATTCAATGGTCTTTATAACAATGAATGTTTGGATTCAAAATTTCACATCCATTTTTTTTTGGGATTTATTTCAAAGGAAAGTTTGGTTTCAAGGCCGTTTCCCAAGTTGAGTAAACCCCTAGACCTTGGAATCAGCTTGGATGGGGTGGGTTCCAAGAATTTGGAACTAGATCTTACCCTCAAATAGATCAGCTTGGATTTTCTACCCACGAGAGCTCTACCCACTTATCCACAAGACATCACAGCTATACATAGGAACATTGTCTGTTTTTGTAACCTATTATGCATGGGGAGATGTTCTAGATGCACGGTTTTAGTATATAGTGGGTAGATGCATGTAGAATTCTTGTGGGAGGAGATCCAAAGTTGTAATAGATTCGGTAGGTCAACTCAAGGCCAATTCAAAGTTGGGTCCACTTGATGCAAGTCTGGTTCCTGGTTGATTCTCCAAATTGGTTTGGAACTTTGGATAGGATAAATTCCTATATCATGGAACCAGCCTAGGTGAGGGTGGGTTTCAAATTATCAGGCCCTACCTAGTAATAGATTGGATAGGGTTGGTTCAAGGCCAATTCAATTCAAAGTCGGTTTCATTTTATTCCAAGTGGGACCTACCCATTTTTTCACCTCTACTATGTTGATAGAGAGCCCCATAATTCATATAATAATTGGTTAGGACTTGTGAGATGCATGTGCTTTGTTGAGAGCAATTGAGGAAGGATCTCTATGAAATTTCCAATTATGCAATGGTCATATAAGTCCAATTCAAGTATTATTTTTTGGGTTATTTCTAATTCAAGGTTCTAAATATCCATACAGGGCGTATCAGTCTGTATCGGTGTTTTTTTTTGTGTTTTATTTATTTATTTTTTCAAAACCGGTTCAGAGGGATCGGTTTAAGTCATGGCTACCCTCTGAACCATGGCCTGACCTGATACGCCCCCTGTTGGGGCATATTGGGAAGGCCCCAATACAATACGTATCCACCAATATGGGCCAATATGTAACAATATTTTGAACCTGGTCTAATTTATCCAATCACAATCCAAGTTATGCTTTAGTGAGAGTGGCCAATTTCCTATGCTCTACCTTGTGTTTTGGTCCTAACAAAAACATCTATAATTCTGAAAAATGTGCAAATTTCTCCTTTCTATTAGCTTTTCAATAACAAAGATGCTGAAATTAACAAAATATCCTTATTGTTGTTACACATTATCATACACAATTTAAATACTCAACTTCACCCTCCACTAATTTATTTTCACTGTCAACTCTAAAAGAGTAATTCTCTCTACACCTCTTGGACGAAGGTTAAAAGGCAAAGTGAAGTAAAAAGCGAGTAAATCTTTTTTTAAGGTATTTCAGTAAATTTACATCTAAATGATGAAGTTCGTTAAGATAAATTTGATAGTTTAAAAAAGTCAATGCATTACATCGGCATTTGATGGAGAGAAATAATTGTGATGGAGTTCTTGTTTCAATTTCTGAAATGGACTCATGACATGGAGCAGGGTTGGGAGCCATCTGTTGTTCCCATTTGGACTTCTTTGCCACAGCTCTAGCTTAACCATTATAATCGCAGATAGTGGGACGTGTTCTAAAGGTGGATTAGGCTACTACTATAGTGAAGTTAATGAGAACTATGGCTGCAAGAGTTTGTGTAGAAATCTTATCAAACAAAACCTTTCTAGGATTTGGGTTGGTCTAGGGAAGGAAGGATTTTGGCAGAGAGTCTACCAGAACATTCCCCTATATTGCTCTTTTTGTTATAAACATGGTCATTTTGAGTCCGATTGTAATTAAGAGGGAAGAGAAAGGAAACTGAAAGAAGAATAAGGACCAGAAGGGAAAGGTGGTTATTGAGGAGAAATAAGAGAAAAAAACCATAATTTCCAAAGAGAAAATCTCCTAGTTATCAAGCAAGTCTTTTAGACTACAAGTAGGATGGTTAACTTAAAAACCAAAGACGAAGAACATAATGGCATTCCTAGCAGGAGTGAACATGAAAAACCAAAAAACTGAATCAAACCGATAGACCAAACCGAAAATTCCGGTTATCTATATATTATAAATGATCATGTATATGCATTATATATATATAATATTATTTATTATTTATAATATAATATTATATATTTCTAGTTATTTATTATATCTTTATACATTTATTTGTAATTTATATTATAAAAAAATTGATGAACCAAATTGGTGGTTAAACGAATTGATCAACTGATTAACCAATTTACTTCAGTTTAGTTTCAGTTACCGGTTTTCCAAAAATCATTACTTTGAAAAATAGGCCCATGGTAACCAAACCGTGAGCACCCCTAACTCCTAAGCCAGTATTTAAGGACATGAATCACGAGGTATAACTCTCTTCTTTTCGACTCTTCAAACACATTGGGCCTCTTTCTTTTGCTTTATTTCTATTCAACAATGTTTGGCTAAGACCAACTCGTCCCAAATAGCTCAGCCTAGCCAACCCCTTTACCTCTTACTAACTTGAGCGTCAGAGTGCCTCTCCTCAGGATCCTCCTTAGGGCCTCTAACCTTGCTTCTTCACGGGTTGCTCGGTATCCATTAGTTTGTCTTGCTCTCCTTTAGCTTGACACGCCTCCTCTAGCTTGGCTAATCCAACTCAGCAAGATTAATTTATTGCTCATCCACATCAGTCCTGATAGCATTAGATTGGCATCGTTTGTGGGAACCAGAATAAAAAGCCTTCAATTTATCCCTCTCACACACTAATGACCATGCCTCCTAAGAACACCCCTGACTGCTATGGCGTTCACTCCCTAACTAGGGTATCTCACTCTAGACAGATCTCACTCTCTTGCACTTCCTATAGTAGTTCTCCGGAACAGGGTGCTCCCTCAAGATGTTCCTCTTGCCAAGGACCCCAAAGGGAACCTAGAAGACCTTGTAGGAGTGCGAGCGATGCCCTTTGCCTCAGAAGTCTGGCTCCAATACTTGGAACTGAGCCTAGAACACTCACTCTAGAACCCACAATCTGGTTAAGGAGCATCTAGGACCCCAGGTACAACAATGGCAACTACATCAACAATACTCACATGCTGACACAAGCTTGGTGAGAGATTGGAATGCCTCATAGAAGCTAGTTAAGTGGGTTGATATCGACAACCAGATCTAAGACATGTGTGAGTAGTTGAATGAGCTCAAAAGGAGCCACTTTGACCGTCACATATAGTGGCAACCTAAATTGATTTATGTTTACTACATAGATATGGCTTTTAATCTATGTTCCATTTTCATTTGTTCATCTCTGAGATTTCCCTCCTATCTCAGTGACAGAGATTGTGAAATATGTCTATGGAAATGTGGGAAATCACATATAGTGCATGGAGCCAATTGTTTTAGCTGCATAACCCCACCACCTTCTATGAATGATCATATTCACTCATCTTATAAGCTTTCCCTTTGGCCTCTATCAGACAAGGTTCACTGCCATTTTAGGTTAAAACTTTCTATCCAGTAAGTGTTTACCCATCATATTCGTGAACGCTAAGGTGCTGTGAGAGAGTCTTCCGTTTTACGATAGACCCCTCCCACATCGGTTTATGACGCCCCTATCATCTTATGAAACAATCCAACAGATCCAACAACAAATGGATAGCCCAATTTTATTGTGCATCTCCTCACTATTGAATGACCCATCTTCATGCTAATGATGGAAGGCCTTTAGAGAGTTCATTATATGAATCTCCCTATCACATGCACTTATATTTTACTGGAGGGAATGAAATATTATGCCCTAGTTCTGATTTAGGTCAAACTAAAGTGGCTTCCACTGACTTTCTCAAAGTTAAATTTAGATGGGCCCTAAACGGGTTAGGGTTTCGCATAGTTCTTCTTGGGGAGGAAGCTTATGTGGGGCCCATCAAGCAAGGAGATCATCCAATGATCTTATGGACACCAGGGCAATGATGTGCAATCAGCCATGGTGTGCAAAAGAGCCACTATCGAATTAACATGGGCCAAGTGGTTATGGCCCATGTACGTAGCACATCACACATCATACATCATATGCATGTAATAAAACCACAATTGATCCAATCAATTTAATCATCTGTAAAACCCTAAAATAGTTAGGTTAAATTAGTATCAGCCCATTAGAGCCCATAACATTACCTAGGTACATGGGCTGAACTGCAAAAGGCAGTTCGACCCATATAGCTGAATCAGGGCTGATGCAGTTTTAACTTAACAATACTGGATTTTACAAGTTGGGCCGAATTAAAACTTGAAGTGGACCATCAACCCTTTGGCCAAAATCGAATTAGGTCAGAAAAACCAACCCCATCGAACCAATAATTCGGTCCAACCAGTTTGGACCAAATCTGGTACAAATCGACCCAAGTATTGGTGTCTAGTTCAAGATTTAATTCAATAATAATGATCTGAAAAATAAATTAAATCAAGATAATCATAATTATCAAGAAAATGAAATCAGAGGGCTGCACTATGATAATCTTGGATATCCTACAAACCTGCAAAGG